AATTCCCTGGCTTGTGTCCATGCTCCTGCTTGTCCTGACCCTTGGCTTTCAGACTCTGACTTCTGACTACGGTTTGTGTTTTGGCTTTGACAATTTGGCATCTGTTTTGTATCTCCCAGACTTTTGACCCTGGACTGGCTCATTGGACTTTTGCCTGCTGAATCCCCTGGGACATGGCACTACCAATGGCTTGTACTATAATGAAACAGGACTTTCTGGACTTTCTCAATGTTTTCCATGCAGTGGATTCTTAACCACTAGAATCTAGACAACCTGGCCAGCATCCACCAGATGTTTTTGGACATCATCTGAATTTACTGTTTTCCACTGTTCTAGTAAGACCTCTAGTTCTAGAAGGATTTCTCTAGAACAGTTAGTTCTAGAAGAAAGATTTTTTACTGGACCATTTCCCATCCTGGCGTTCACCAGATGTGGTGGACAATAATGCCAGGCTGGCTTGAGATGATGGGAACTGTAGTCCAACACATCGAAAGGGTAAGAGTTTAGGAAAATCTGTTCTAAATCTCGCCACTCCAGCATATGGACTCACTTTCTGCTATGTTCTGAGGTGTACCTGTTGAACGCATAATCATCATTAGTATAAATCAAGTCCTTAACTGAGGCCAAAATTAGCCCCATAATTACCATCGCTGATGGAAAGAATAAGAGAAAGAACAAGACTGTGACTACAATACGTTTCTACAGGAACTACTGAATGCTTGTGGAATGCTGTTATTCTTGGAAGAATTCTTCCTGAACACTTCAAGTTTTATTCTGCTTTTTGGTTTTTTTAAAAAATAGGCTTCTAGACCTTGTGACTGCAAACATTATATTGGAAGCATGCCTTCTTTGGGAGCTGTCAAATGTGCTAGACCTCAAAAGGGTTCCTGGCACTCGACTGTCACACAGCATGGTCTGTTTCCTGCAACTGATGGCTGCCAAATGAACTTTCCGTCACACTCTGAGGACATCCTGCTCCTCTCCAGACTTCTCTTTCTTGAACTGGGCTCTGTCAACCACAGGAATCTTCTAGGCTAGTCCTAATCACCACTGGGGCTTCTCTCTTGTGGGTATCCTTTTAAGATGCTTCAAGGTTGAGTGGCCGGGGGGTTTCTCCACCCTTGGGAGCAATCAAACGATTTCTCCTGCCCTGAGTGGATTTTTTCATGTACAGCAAAGTGCAGTTTTCTAAGACGACGTAACCCACCGCTGGCGCACTTATATGGCTTCCTTTCCGGCAGGCTTGTCTCTCGTGCTGAACGAGGGAGGCCCACCGGCAGTAACTCTTCCCACAGTCTTTGCAAATGTACGGCCTCTCTCTGGTGTGCACCCTTTTGTGCTGGCCGAGGTTGGAGCTGGTGCTGAAGCTCTTCCCACAGTCCATGCACTTGTGGGGCCTCTCGCCCGTGTGGATGTTCATGTGGCGGCGGAGCTGGTACTGACACGGCCACCGTTTGCCACAGTAGCAGCATTCGTATGATGATGTCTTGGCAGGAGCTGCAAGGGTTGGCCTAAAGTTTTCCTCCCACTCTGAGATGATCTTTCCTGGTATACATTCAGAGATCCTTTCTCGGCTTTGGTTTACGCTTCTATCACCTCCATCCTTGCCATCAGTGGTTTGCACTGGTGCCTTTCCTGGAAGGTTTTCCTGAGGTTGCTCCAATCTCTGTTGACTCACAAGCTTTTCATCTAGGATAGGTACCTGGCAAAGGGTCCTTGTCACTTTCTCCAAAGAGTTTTCACGTTCTTTAACATTCTGGGGTCTTTCTGGCTGAAAGTCCTGCTCCTCTAAGGTCATCCTAGTGGCTGCAACGTATTCATGCCTCTCTGGCTGGTTTTCATTCATGGCCACCTTGCCTATGAGAGGTGGAGGGGAGAGAATCAAAGGATGAAATTGATGTGCTTAACTGTTTTTACCTGGAAAAATTATTACTTTTAGAAATGATGAAGGTAGATGGGAACGTCAATGTGATTAAATAGATAAAATAAATGAAATTCTAAAGAATCTAGGATGTTGAATTTAAAGCAAAAAGCAAAAGCCTGCTTCTTATATTCCGCCCCATAGCGCTTTAAGCCCTCTCTGGGAGGTTTACAAACTAATTATGCAGGCTACACATTGCCCCCCCCCCCAGTGAGCTGGGTACTCATTTTACCGACCTCGGAAGGATAGAAGGCTGAGTCAACCTTGAGCCGGCTACCTGGGATTGAACCCCAGGTCGTGAGCACAGTTTTGGCTGCAGTACAGCGGTTTAAATTTAAGAAGCAGGATTTAGCAGGAAAGTTCTCTTATAGCTCTAGTTCTCTGGTAGGGAAGATTTGATTTACATATGGTAGGCCATGCCTTGCGAGCAGAAACTCCAAGTTCAGTCCTTGGTAGTGCCAGTTTAGGCCTTGGAAACACCTACAGAAGTACTGACAGTTTGGAAAAATTCTAGCTGGGCACAGTAGCCTGGCTAGAACACAGATGTGTGCTTTCCAATGGAGGGGTGGGAGATCAGATAAACTTATCGCTTGTATCAATGTTCTTCTGGGTATCAATGTATAAGTATTTAAGCAAGCAAAAGGTTATCTGATCTCACACTGAAAGTAATCCTTTCAGGAGTAAACATCAGCTGCAATAGGCCACAGCCTCAAACTACCAAACTACCAGTGTGGAACATTCCATCTTAACATGGGGGATGTCCAAGCAACTCCCACCCCTCCTTGCCTCCTCTTGCACGTTTAGCATAATGCTCGCACACATGGTTCAAATTATAACCCTTTGCAATTAAGCCAGATACACTTATGGCTCATACTTACTAAGCATGTTAGCTTCCCCATCATTCTCCTGTTTGGCCCCCTTGGTGAGCTGCATTTCTTCAGCATCCGAGGGATCCTTTTCTATCTTAGGGCAGTGACTTATCACTTCTTCAAAAGGCTCCAGATACTGAAGGGGAAAAGGAGGTGAACTTTATTATACAATGATCAGGCACAGAGATTACCTGCGTTAGGCCATGCTTAGTAACAGAAATGGCAGGTCCAGTCCTTGGTGGTGGCAGTTTAGGGCTCAGAGAGAACTACAGAAGTATTCGGAATGGTAGACTGGCTAGAACACAGAAGCATGTGCTCTAATGGAGGGCCATGACTCATTTCCCCAGGAGCGACATCCAAGATATATTATCTTGCCTGCGATCATTCCTCCCATTCCAGGTACAGAAACCAACCACAAGGGCAGACAAATGTTACTTGACCATCACAACTGAAGGCAGCAAGCATTCTCAGGAGATGCAGAGGAGGCCTGGCCCGAAGTGCCTGACCACTGGAAGGCAGGTCAAGCTGTGCACAGCCATAGTTCTGTCCTCTAAAGCTCCCTGTCCCATCAGCTCCCAGCATCTACTATCCAGGGGGGCTCCTCCTTCCTCAATGGTAGAACTGGCTCTGTGTAGCTAACACTTTGTGGTGCCCAAGAACACCACAAAACCACTACCTGCTTCATCCTATTTGTTTTCACCACCAGCAAAGAGCAACCAATGCAACTGTGTGACAAACTGACACACGTTAAGAAGTCAGACACCAACAACCTGCTTCTTGAAGCTTACAGAAAATGCCATTCTCCTGTTTCACCTTGAACTATGGGGACAGACTGCCTCGGCCCCAACTCGGAGACAGGCACAGGACGTGTAACCCAAGGGAGATAGTGATGGAACCTTTGGGTCTCCACGATTTACCCACCTGCCCTTCTTTCCTCTCCCGCTCCTGAATGAAATCCTCAGCCAGAACCACCGCCTGGGCGCAGGTCTCTGGACCACCTTGTCGGACCCGACTCTGCACTTCCGCAGGCAGGACCCTCAAGAACTGCTCCAGCGTAATCAGCTCCACGATCTGCTCCTTGCTGCGCGTCTCCGGCTTCAGCCACTGACGGCACAGTTGCAGAAGCTGCCGGCAAACCTCTCGCGGCCCTTCGGCCTCCCAGTAGCAGAACCGCCGGAAGCGTCGACGATGCACCTCCGAGACGATCAAGTCGTCCTCATCCAGTTCTTCCTTTACCGCTGCAGAAGAATCTGGGCTGATGCCCCAGACCTTGTGAGCTTCTTTTGTCCAGCTTGGCAGGTTCTGGATCCCACACTCTCCTCCAGGCCAAGGGGCTGCTTGAGCCGTTCCCTGGAAGGGGGACTGAAGAGCAGTCGGACCCTCTCCTAAGCGGGAAGGGGGCGGCTGAGGGTATTTCCTTCCCAAATAGGGGGCCTGCAGGCTCTTGAGGAACTCCTGCCACTGGGCCTCCCAGCGCTGCTGCTGCCGTTCTTCTTCCTCCGGCTCCTGCTTGATGGGCTTCAGAGCCATCTCAGCACGAAGCTCCCCTTCGCTCTCGCTCTGAACAGCGTGGTCGCCTCTTGGTCCCACCTCTCTTCTCTTCCCTTCTTCAGCTCTGCCCAGGTCCTCCTCCTCCATCATCATTTCCTTCGTTGCTGTGAATTACAGCAGAGGGTTACAAGCAGAAGAAGCCTGTTCCATCCCACTGTGTTTCTGTTCAACAGAAATGTCTCCCCACAGGGGAATGTGGGACCACACCATTTGTGGGTGGCTGCCATGGCACAAGCGGAGGGCATTTTCTCTCCACAGAGATTGCCGCTTGTGTAATGGCAGCAGCCTTGTGATCATGTACAGTAATCATGGTGAGCAAGATGTGTCCACAGGCTACATGTGGCCCTCTCGGGACCTCCCACAGCCCCCTAAATAAATTTTAAGTTTAAAAAATGCTCAAAAAGTTCCTTTTGGACTCTGTTTTCTATACTTCCAAGACTGCCCTCCTTCCTTTTCTTTTTCCCACCTAGAATATTCTTTGAGCGAAATCCCCTATGACTTGATAGCACCATGCATTTGCAATTTCCTGCCTTTTCTACTCCCTTTCCCAATATTTTCAGGTGCTGCCCATCGGTTGAGGCTAGAGGTGGTTTTATTCTGGTGGTAATCAACGTGGCCTCGCCCACTTTAGGACTCTCCCCTTCCTTCCTTCCGCTCACCTTCTCCTTGCAGCGGTTGCCCCGAAACCTTCGGGCTGCCTGCGCGGCTCCTGCCCTTCCTCCCGACACCTGGACACCAAGAGAGAAAATATCCCAAAAGTAGATTTCTCCACCAAGCCAGCGAGGCGAGAGAACCGGAAGCAGGAAGGGACCGTCTTCCGGGTTCGCTTCCGCACCTCCTCCCTTTCATCCTCCGAGGGGTCTCTCTAGGAACCCACAGCTCTGTCTCTTTAACGCCTTTCCAGCCACTCGTAGAAAAAGCGACCCTGAGACCTCTTTGGCTGCTGGGGGGGAAATAAATCGTCTGAATGAGGCAAAAACGGCCTTAAGAGACCGAGAGTTGTGACTAGGTCTATCGTGCGACATGATTCCCAACAGGGTGATCGAAAAGGATGATTTCATCAATAAACGAACCGAACAAAACCTCAGCCACGCAATCGCCATTGAACTTGATGTGAACTTGAGCAATGACGTAAAGGCTGGGGCGATTTCAATGACGATTGACGGATGGGTTTTGTTAATTAATTTAAGATTGTGCAACTGCCTGGTATAAATGGATACCTGAATAACTATTTCAAGAGTTCTCCCGATCCTCACATCCCTTGTTAAACTCACTCCTTTTTTTTAAAGAAAAAGTTTTTTAAACAAATCCCATTTTTAAAATTTAGATCCTGATTTTAAATCAATCTGATCAAAATAACAGCAACTATTCTAATATTTTAAAAGAATGAATAACATATTATAAAAAATGCGAGGTAAAAGCCTCACTGAAAGCAGATTTCGAAGCAAGAAAAGAGAGGCTGTCCCATTTTAAAACCCATCCCAGATTGTTATTTACATTTTTATTGTACTATTTTAAGATTGTTAGCCACCTAGAGTGGCCCTCATTTGACCAGATAGGCGGGATTTAAATAAAATAAATAAAAATAATAATAAATAAAGATTGTCAGTCAGGAAGGAGCAGCCTGCCTGAAGCAAAAGGCCCCCGAGATCAGGGTGCATTGACCTCTTTTGACAGTTCCATGTTTTGTGTGGGAAAAGACATGAGAGGGGGCGTTCATTGAATAAAACCTTATTAACAACAACAGGGTGGAGTTTTTTTTTCCCCCACCACAACTTCAATTGGATCATTAAAACTTGGATTTATATGTGAACTCTCCGTGGGTAGAGCACTTGACAAATATCCAGCTCATAACGGTGTGTTTTCCAGAACCGCTCCTGATCCGTGGGCTTCCTCTGACCTCTCCTCCCTGACGGCACGGAGAGTCCCACAACACGGGTGGACAAGCCCATTCCCCTTTGGGATGGATGGGTTTCTTGCCTCTCTCCAATGATCCTGGGTTGGGTCATCTATTTCACTGGGCCGCGTCCTCTCGGGTAGACCTGATCCATTCCTCTGGATCTCCGAAGTGGAGATTCGTGAGGATTTCCATCTCTCCTTTCCCGTCAAGGACAAGAGAAAGTGCAATTCGGGGTTGGGTTCCTGTGGCCTTCTTCTTTGTGTTTCATCGAGCATCTGCTCTACGGCCAAGGCGAGGTCACTCTCGGCGACCTGAGCCTGAGGACCAGAAGACGCAGAGTGCTTTCAATGGGCCTGCCAGTTAACGTCCGTGCAGACCCCATGTTCTCCTTCCGTTCCTATCATGCCTGTGTGGCGGTCCGACTTGCTGCGCTCCTCTGCAGGAGCCGAAAGGACCGCGGGCCTGCAAGGATCGGGAAGGTTGGCCGATTTAGAACGATAACGGAGTCAGTGTCCCGGAACGGGTTTCATTCACCGGAGGAATGAGAAGTTCTCTCAGGTGGACCTACATTTGCAGATAACATTCAGTGGAGCAACCTAGGGGAAACCAAACACCTGAAGCAGCAGGAGGAGTATGGATCGTTTCTGCTCCAGGAGGCCTGCCTGATTGTTGTTGGTTTTTCTGCTTCGGGAGTCCTGCATGGTTGTTTTTGGTTTTTTAAAGTTATTGGAATTGTTTTTTTAATTTTTCAATTTTTATTTCTGTTTTATGAGCTGTTACCCACCCAGAGTAGTGCTGTGACACTACAAATAAATAAGTAAAATATAGCCCTTCTATTATTGGTTCGATACCTTCAGTTTTCTCATCACTCTTTCCCTTTCCAATCCTTTCCCGGTACTTTTAAACTCTTTGGGCTCACTTTCCCCTTCACACCATTCATCTTCCAAGATCACCACTTTCTCTGTCGTGCCTGATTTCCCTCCTTCCTCTGATAAATCCACCGCTCTCTGGATTTCTTTTCCTCGCTCCTCTCCCCCCTTTTCTCCTGCCTTCAGCTCCTTCATCCCATTCACCATCTCTAGCATCTCTTCTTTCACAACTCTTTCATCTTTAGCCTCCTGTTCAGACGTGGGAGGGGACGGCTCACTCCTTTTTTAATCTCTTTTTTTCCTCCTCCTTTCTCTCACAGGCGCCTTTTGCACCCCAGAAGGAGCTTTCCTGTCACCTCAGACAGATTGATTTCCAGCGCAAACCAAGTTATAAAATCAGGGCCGCCTGGAGCCCAGCCTTTGCTGTCATTGCATCCGAAGAGCAGCCATGCTGAGGAGGAACCAGGCTTCTGGAGGGCACTCTGTTGCTGTTGCTAGGGGCAACGCAAAAGGCCCAGCGCCAGGGTGATGGAACCAAAGCCTCAAATAAATGCAAAGGTCCCTTTGGGAAGAAGTGCTAAAAAGAGAGAGAGGGAAAAAATGGAAAATGAAATGAGATGTTCTCTAGTCACACTGGGACATTATTTTTAAAAAGGTGTTCTGAAGGGGTGAAATGGTCTGTTACAACCTGCTTGCATTTTTACGCTTCTTAAGGGCTGCATCACCTATCAGTCATATTAAATTGTCCAAAGATGGGCACAGCAGCTGAAGGCATGACTGCAGAAGACCAAAGGAGAACCTGCCTAAGATATTCTGTTGTCTGAGGAGAAGTAGCAAATACTGCCCTGCTCAAGACACAAAATGCCCCAAACTCTCGGGACATTTCAGTTAATCATCTTTAGATAAACACGAGTAGTCCCCTCCCCCCTTTGTTCACTTCAGGTGCTCCACAAAAAAGGTGTACGTTCAGAATCCTTATAATTCTATTATTTGCCTTTTACATCTTGATTCATTCAACAGAGCTGAAGGGTTTAGTAATAAAAAGCTAGATCCTCAAAATGTTTTTGTGGGTGATACTGAAGATCCAATTAATCGCCTAGTGGCTGACTGAAGATCTGCGGGGAGCCTAGAAGATGTAAAAACACAATTGTGATCCCCAAGTAACTGGGTCATACGGCCTCCAAGTCTGGGGATAAAATAATCACCAGTGCTGAGTAGCTACTAATAGTTTCATCCTCCACAAATCTGTGTAATTGCTTTAAGATCTACTCCTTACTAATGGTCACCATTTGATAGTTACCAATTTTTTACCACTTCACCCCCTCTACCCTAAAAACATCAACATGAAATTATGACTTTTTAAAATCAATTGCTAGAATCCTATGGGTGTGCAAATAAGGTTCATGTAACTTGCCACAGTTAATTATGAATAACTGATGAGGTGCCAGGGTGCTACAGTCAGGCGATTAGGCATGTCACTTAGATACGCCACTGCACCTCAACAACTAGCTGCAATTAGCTTTGGCAAGTTAAGCACACCTTATGAAAACAACAGAATCCTAACTCACAATTTCTTGGGAATTTGATTCAGAAACAGAATAAAATATAGACAGATGTTGCAATTTGATTTTAAACTAAACTTTACTAACGAAGAAAAATGAACATGAAGTTCCAAAACTCCAGTGATTGGTTAAAAAGGGCAAGATCATTCCATGTATAGACTCACAATTGTAGGACTAATTAACTATGGAGGTTTTGTAAAAATTCTGTTGCATAACCAGTAATATGGGAGATATCAGGCAGCTATCACTAATTCTTACTTCAAAGGAACAGGACTTTCTGGACTTGACATCCAATGTTCAGGATTGTTCAATCTTTTTACGTCTACCCCACCCACAATACAGTCATCTGAGGCTCCTCGTGTTGAGGAGCCCCAGACGCCAGCGCTAGCTGCAACCCTTTTTATTGACCAGAAAATACCAATATAGATTCAGGCCAAATGGGATGGACTGTTGCCATCACTTCCTGTTTGTGGCCTCCCAAGAACCATCCACCCATGATGGGAAGCCAGATGCTGCACTGGATGGTCTGACCCAACTATGCTGTTTGTCATGAGCTGAACTCTTAAAATCCATGAAATGGCTGCTGCAGATCTCACTTATTGATAAGTCTCCATCTCAATGTTTTCCAAGCAGTGGATTCTTAAATCACTAGACTCTAGGCAACCTGACCAACATCCACCAGATGTTTTGGACCTCATCTGGAATGACTGGCCATCCTGGCTGAGGTTTATGGGAGCTACAGTCTTAAACATCTGAAAGAAATGCGATTGCCTACCCATTTTTCTACAAAGATTTCTGTAAAAGGGTTCTAGGAGAAGCTGCAACTTTTGGAAGGCAAGAAAGCATTGTAAGAGTTTTTCCCCCTAGAAAAGCATCCCCCAATCTCTTCATATGTGTTGGATTACAATAACCATGTTGGCTGAAGCCTATGGGGCCTGTAGTCCAAAACACCTAGCAGGCACCAAATGGCATATCCTTGTTCTACATGGTTTTCTGTAGAAGGATTAGTTCTAGAAGAAAGTTTTGTCTTGGAACCTTTTCCATCCTGGTTTTCACCAGATGTGGTGGACAAGAATAGCTATGCTGTCTTGGGATTATGTGAGTTATAGTCCAATGCATCTAAAGTGCAACAGCTTAGGGAAGTCTGTTCTAAATCTAGCCATTACAACGTATGGGGTGGCTTTTGGTGATTTTCTATGTTTGCCTGTTGAACACTTAATGATCATTAGTACAAATCAAGTCCTTAACTGAGACCATAATAAGCCCAACAATTACCATCGCTGATGAAAAGAATAAGAGAAAGAACAAGACTGTGACTACAATACGTTTCTACAGGAACTACTGAATGCTTGTGGAATGCTGTTATTCTTGGAAGAATTCTTCCTGAACACTTTGAAGTTTTTTTTAAAAAAAGCACGCTTCTAGACCTTATGATTGCAAAACTTTTATTGGAGGCATATGGGTGGCACATGTTGGAATATCAGAAACTGGACAATGCATGCTGAGATGATACTGTAATACGATAGATGGGTCTGTTGAATCTAGATCTCCAAGATCTGTGGGACTCGGTCATTTTCCGGGGTAACTCGGTTGAGTGGGTACTTTATTCCCAAAGCAATAATTGTCAGATCTAAATAAATGGCATTTAGTTGGAAGATGTACTGTATGAGGTCTGGCTGGCTCAAGAGCTCAATTTAGGTATCTGGCAGCAAAGCTAGAGGCTGGGAGTTCAATGTCTCACTGTGCCTCTCGGGAGAAGAGCCAGCCTGTGTATAGACCAGCTGCACAGTCCGAAGATGTCGCCAGAAGAGAATGGTAAACCACTTCTGGATGTTTTCTACCTAGAAAACCCTGGAAAGGGTGATAGAACCATAGAAGAGTGAAGTTGGAAGAGGCCTATAAAGCCATCAAGTGCAACCCCCTGCTTGAGGCAGGAATACAAGTCAAAGGATATCTGCCAAGTGGTTGTCTATGTTTCTCTTGAATGCCTCCGATATTAGAACACCTACCACATCCTGAGGTAACTGGTTCCACGGTCTTACTGCTCTGTTAGGATGGTTTTCCTGATATTCAACTGAAATCTGGCTTCCTATAACTTGAGCCCATTGTGGCGTGTCCTGCACTCCGGGATGATCGAGAACAGATCCTGCCCCTCCTTTTTATGACAGCCTTTCAAGTATTTGAAAAGTGCTATCATATCACCCCTCAGTCTTCATTTTTCAATTTTAAACATGCCCAGTTCTTTCAGTCTTTCCTCATAAGGCTTGGTTTCCAGCCCCCTGATCATCCTTGTTGCCTTCCTCTGAACTGGTTCCAGAATTTGACCCGATGGCACACAATTATTATTATGGGGCTTATAACTATCCAACTAGTTTGTAACCTACTGTTTTCATTGCAATAATCAAAACATAAATTAAATCAAGTTCTTTAAGGATGTATGTGTGATAAAGGGCAAGCTTATTAGGGAAAACAATTCTACACTCTATAAAATATAGGTGGGTTTTCTCCTGATTGAACATCATTTCTTTAAGCCACCATTTGGCAGAACACAATCAAGTGAAGGTAGGTTTAATTTTTAAGCAGAAGCAGTGAGAGCAGAAATGGAAGGAAATTTAGGTACACATGTCCCAAATCCTCATGAAACAGAGATCTGACTCAACCTTTTCTGACAGCCCGAACATTTGTGTGGCTTTGGTCCTGCCGGGTCATTAGCCGTTGGAATGAGGTTGGGCCTCCTCACAATATTACGCCCACAATCCACACATCTGTACGGCTGAACCCCCATGTGGACACTCTGATGCGTAATGAGGTGAGAGCTGTTCCGAAAAGTTTTCCCACAGACCGAGCACTCAAATCGTTTCTCCGCAGCCAGCGTCCGTGTGTGTGTGAGGAGATCCGAGTTCAGGTGATGGCTTCTGAGGCATTCAGAACATTTCAAATCTTGGTCCGCCCGAGCCAGTCGCTGCCGGAAGGTTTTCCCACATTGTGAGCAAGTACAGATTTCTTCCCCTTCATGGATTTTCTGATGTCGTAGAAGAACAGAGCTCGAGGTGAAGCTTTTCCCACAGGCTGAACAGATGTACGGTCTCTGCCCTGTGTGGATTCTCACATGCACTAGGAGATTGGATCGCCTATCAAACGTTCTCCCACAGTCTGAGCACCTGTAGGGTTTCTCTCCGGTGTGAATCCTCTCGTGCAACACCAGGTGGGAGCTCCACCTGAAGCTTTTCTCACAGTGGGAGCATTTATACGGCTTCTCTCCTGTATGTGTCCTCTCGTGGGATTTCAGATTAGGGATGTTCCTGAAATTCTTCCCACACACCAAGCACTTGTGTGGTTTTTCTCCTGTATGGATTCTCTCATGAACTATGAGAGTCTGTCTCTGGCTAAAGCTATTTCCACAATGGGAACATTTATGCTGTTTCTCCCCTGTGTGGACTTTCTGGTGCGCGATGAGTTGCAAACTGTTCCTGAAGGTTTTCCCACAGACGGAGCACTCAAATGGCTTCTCTTTGTGGGTTCGCACATGCATCACCAGTTCTGTGCTGACAGCAAAAGTTTTACCACAAGCAAAACATGAGAAGGTTTCTTCTCCTGAATGGGTCTTCTTGTGTTTGATAAGCTCGGACTTTTGGCTGAAGCTTTTCCCACAGTACGAGCACACTTCTGTGTGGATCCTCTCGTGGGATATAAAGTGGGAACTCCTGCTGAAACACTTCCCACAGTCCAAGCATTTATACGGTTTTTCACCTGTATGGATCCTCTGGTGTACTTTCAGATCTGAGCCGTTCCTAAAATTCTTCCCGCACACAGAGCATTTATAAGGTTTCTCACCCGTGTGCGTCCTCTGGTGTTTCAGAAGGTCGGATCTCTGGCTGCTGCTTTTCCCACATTCAGAGCAGGTATAAGGTTTCTCTCCTCCCTGGATTCTCTCCTGTGGGTTCCAGCCAAAGGTACTCCCACAGTGTGAACATTTATGCGGCTTCTGGCCTGTATGCGTTCTCTCACTTTCTCCACAACAGGAGCAGGTATATAGTTTTTCGCCCACGTGGCTTCTCTCATGGTGTTACATAACAGCACTGATGTTACCTGTCTGTCATGGGTTTGGAGGGAAAGTTCCATCCTATGGGGAGTGGAAGGCGGGACATCAGGAGGAGGGGCTGTACTGTATAAATATGTGATGCCTGTGTGGTGAAGAGAGATGCTGAGACAGACTGTGAGACACTGGGTTGGGGCGGAGCAGCAGCTGGGGAAGAAGAAGCTGTTGTGGGAGTCTGGGTGTCTGACAGGGTACTACTGTGTGTCAGAGTACCAGCCTGAAAGGTTCAGGGGTCTGTTGGTTAGCCAGAACTGATGGGTTCAGGGTCTGTGCTTTAAGTTAAAGGTTCTAGGTGAACCAAACTGTATGTATGTCTGAGTGAATTTAAGCCACGTTACTTTATCCTATTCACCTGATTGTTTTATTTACCCTGTTTGTATTTAAAATAAACCTTATTCTTTTTGTTGTTTAAAAATCCATCCCTGGTCTGTGTGACTTATTATAGGGAATGGTTGGTGGCAGCTTAGTAACTGTGTGATAGATCCCAGTAGGTCTGGGTTTGTCACACATGGGTCACAAGTTTTATGCTGCTGCTGAAACTCTGGCCACAGTGCCAGCACCTGAACGGCTTCTCCTCTCTTTTGGGGTCCTCGGGCACAGTAAGGGAAAGTTCTTCCTCACAGTCATCATACTTGACCCCATTCTCCTCCTCCTGGTTTGCTGGCCTCATGATCTCTTCACAGGCACCTTGTGGCTGAAACAACAGATCCAGTCCGGTTGCTCCATCATCTCCATTTGGTCCCTCTGCTGAATGCTGGTTCTCCTCGGCTCCTCCCTGACCCAGGGAATCACTCTCGTGGCCTGTTTTCATGGAGGCGGTGACTCGTTCCCTCTGCCCAGGACTGCCCGCCAAGGGTTTCGTTTCCTTGCTCTCGCTGAGCCACCCGTCACCTGCTGGAGGAAAGGAAAAAAAAGAGATAATCTATATACGGCTCAGGCATTGTTCTTAAAAGCAGGAATAAACAGACATGACATGGTTGCACAGTCTTGCCTAGTCTCTCTCTTGTCTTTGCAGTGTCCTTAGGAAATGGCAACAGGCTTTCTTTCCACGGATTCCCCCTCCCAGCTTCCCTCTCGGATGTGCCACTGCAGAACTCAACTTCCTCTTCAGCAGAAGCTGACAACTCGAGTTTGGCCGGACGGTGAATCTATTCTGGTTTTTGGTCTGACACAGCTGGTGGTGAAAGCTTCTGGGAATTGTAGTCCAAGAACATCCAGGTTACCCAAGGTTGGGAATCACTGAACTAGATCACTGGTTCTTAACCTTTGTTACTCAGATGTTTTTGGACTTCAACTCCCAGAAGCCTTCACCATCAGCTCTGCTGGCTGAGGTTTCTGGGAGTTGCAGTTTAAAAACACCTGAGTAACAAAAGTTAAGAATCACTGAACTAGATGACTAGAAATCCTTTATTTAAATGAAACCCTAATATCTCCAGATAATATCTCAGGACAACAGTGTTTATGATTATGTTGTTTTGGTATTCGTGACTGTATGTTATAATATTGATTTTGATATTATGTTCTATATTTTTTAAAGTATCATTGTTTTACTGCGGAGTGGCCTTGTAGCCAGGTGGGTGGTACAGAAGTCAAAACCAACTGACGAACTGACAGACCGACACAACAATTTTGTGGTCTTCATCTTGGAACGTGACTTTAACTTTAAGAGTGGTCGACCAGACCAGATGGGTGGGATATAAATCAATCAAATAAATAAATAAATAAACTTGGATCCTAACATTGCAATGTCTGGTCAGGATCATTTTTTAATTTTTTGGTTGTTTCACCTTGCCCCCTCAACCTCTACGATGCTGAAGCAAATGCCGGTTCCTACTGGACCTGGAAGGCTTGCACTCCTGTATTTGGATTTGATGCAAAGACCATGTGACCTTTATTCCTGTCATAAAATCCAATCATAGCCTGCAGCAATATCTTCAGCCACTAGATGTCAGACCTTCCCTAGGAAGATGAGACACGACGGAAGCAGGCTGAGAGATACAATTATCCTCAGAGCCTCTAGGCCGCGCCATGTGATGCTTTTCCCTGCAGTTCCAAATCTTGACAGTTCAGAGACTGGGAAAGAAAACAAGAAATGCTAGCTGGTAAGAGGAGGCAGAAGAGCGAGTAGAGGAAAAAGGACGATGGAGCAAAGGATGGCAGAAGAGAATGACCAGCAAGAATGAGAGAGAAAAGGTGGGAGGGATTGTTATGACGGAACGTCTAGGAGAATTCAGTGGAACAGGACCCAGAGCGCCTTACCCAACAGGGCTCCGTTCCCTTTACACCCGTGTTCGCTCTCTGTGGGAAGCCGCAGCTTTCCTTGGCCTGGCACGGCCTCCCTTGCCTCGGGGGAACTGGCAAGGTGCTCTTCAGACGACCCTGTGAGCTGGAGGGAAGAACACAAGGGCGAGTGAGTCAGGTCAAAGGGAGGTCAGGAAGGAGGCAAAGAGTGTTGGGAGGGGAGGTGGCAAAGTTGCTCGGAAGCTCATGTCATGGGCTTGTCTGCCCTTTTGTCAGAAGAGAGAACATCGGAGTGGCTTCCAAAACACTAGAAGCACAGGCTGACCTGTTTTCCATCAGGTGAGCCTATCTAGTCCTAGGCTGTTCACTGCAACTGGCACCAGCTCTCCAGGGCTTCAGGCAGAGAGAGAGAGAGACCTCTCTGACCTTCTAGTCACAAAGCACGTCATCAACAACCCCTCCCAAAAAAGTACAACCATCCTACTGATTAAAGCAAAGTGTTCTGCTTATATACTGCCCCATTGTGCTTAAAGCACTCTCTGGGAGGTTTACAGGCAGGTGTCCAGGCAGGCGGGCGAAGGGTGCATGCATGTGTGCACATGGGTGGGTGTCCATGCGGGGTGTGTGTGCATGTGGCCGGGAGTGCATGTGCACGCTCCTTGAGCCTTCAAACCTGTGGAAAACATATGATGTGGCCCTGAAGCTCAAATGTTTGGAGACCCCTGTCCTAGACCAGTGCTTCCAAAACCTTCATGCCAGATGTTACTGGACTTCATTTGCAAGCCCACTGGAAAGGTACCCACCTGCCGTTCCCTGATTTCAGCCTCTGGATGTCTCAGAAGGAAATCCTCGGCCAGACTCACAGCCCGGGCGCAGGTCTCGGCCCCTCTCTCCTTGACCCAGCTCTGCATCTCCCGGGGCAGGATGGCCAAGAACTGCTCCAGGGACACCCGCTCCAGGATCTGCTCCTTGGTGTGATTCTCAGGCTCCAGCCATTCGCGGCAACATTCCTGCAGCTGCCGGCACACTTCGGGAGGCCCGCTGGCCTCTTCGTAGCGCAACCGGCGGAAACGCTGGCGCTGCCTCTCGGCCTTGGCGGGACTGCCCGCTGGAGCTCTTTCCTCTTCCTTCCCAACCGGCGGGGGAGCTAGAGGGGTGCTGGGGTCCAGTCCAATCTCCCCAAGGAGACGCTCTGGGGAGCCCCACAATCCTTCGGGCCCCTTGTTGGCATCGCTCCCGACCTGGGACAGCCCCAGGGATCTTTGAGGGTCATGGCACGGCTTCTTCTCCTCCGGCTGCTGTGGGGTTGCCCCGACCGAAGGAGGAGTCTGGAGCCTCTGCAGAAACTCTTGCAAGCGAGCATCCCAATTCCCGGACATCTCTTCCTCCGGTTCCTGTTTCACTTTGTGACCAGCGTCCACCCAGCTCCTCCCAGCGGTTTTGAGTAGAGCTGCTCCTTTTTTGACCTCTCCTTCTTCAGGACCTCCTGAATCCTCCTCCTCCTCCTCCATTTTTATTTCTGGCTCCAAAAACCCAGCAGCTCCTGCCTCTTGCCTCACATCCATTTCCTCTTGACAGGGACGGATCCTTCCCCTCTCTCCCTTTCAGCAGCAATGTCGGAGGGACGCCTCAGCTCTGTGGTTTGTTTTCTCCTTCAGGTTCAACCAGCACAAGCGACTCACCTCAGCAGCCTCTTTGCGAGTGAGGCAGGAAAGCGCCAAGGCTTCGCAACAACATATTTCAAGGTAACCCACCTGTTCTCATGAAAGAAAAATAAACACAACACCAAAATAATACAGGGAACCAATGGGAGGGAAGATAAAATTCCTTGCAACCTCTCAATGCCATATTACTTTTATTAGCAATTTGAAAATAGAGCGGATTCTTGCTGATGTTGCCCAAGATCAAAGGCTCACCCCCGCCTTAGCTTCTTTCAGTCATTTGAGGAACATAAGCAGCAGCATCCTGGATTTCCATCAAAGGCCT